GAGCTGGTTTTTTGAGATAAACAAAATAGACCACTATCCAGATTAATAAAAAAGAAAAGGGAGAAGAATCAAATAGATGCAATAAAAAATGATAAAGGGGATATCACCACTGACTCCACAGAAATACAAACTACAATCAGAGATTACTACAAACAACTCTATGCACATAAACCAGTAAACCTGGAAGAAATGGATAAATTCCTGGACACTTGCCTCCTCCCAAGCCTAAACGAGGAGGAAGTTGAAACTTTGAACAGACCAATAACAAGGACTGAAATTGAGGCAGCAATTAATAGCCTACCAACCAAAAAAAGTCCAGGTCCAGATGGGTTCACAGCTGAATTCTACCAGACGTACAAAGAGGAGTGGGTACCATTCCTTCTGAAACTATTCCAAACAATACAAAAAGAGGAAATTCTTCCCAAATCACTTTATGAGACAAACATCATCCTGATACCAAAACCCAGCAGAGACTCAACAAAAAAAGAAAACTTCAGGCCAATATCCATGATGAACATAGATGGAAAAATCTTCAATAAAATATTGGCAAACTGATTGCAACAGCACATCAAAAATCTTATCCATCACAATCAAGTGGGCTCCATTCCAGGGATGCAAAGCTGGTTCAACATATGCAAGTCCATAAGTGTAATCCACCCCATAAACAGAAGCAAAGATTAAAAACCACAATTATCTCAATAGATGCAGAGAAGGCCTTCGACAAAATCCAACAGCCCTTTATGCTAAAAACTCTCAATAAACTAAGTATCAAAGGAACATATCACAAAACAATAAAAGCTATTTGGAACAAACCTATAGCCAATATCATACTGAATGGGCAAAAACTGGAAGCATTCCCTTTGAAATCCGGCACTAAACAAGGATGCACTGTCTCACAACTCATATTCAAAATAGTATTGGAATTTCTACCCAGAGCAATTAGGTAAGAAAAAGAAGTAAAGTGAACTCAATTAGGAAAAGAGGAAGTCAAATTGTCTCTATTTGCAGATGACATGGTTGTATATTTAGAAGACCCTATCATCTAAGACCAGAATCTCCTTAAACTGATAAGCAACTTCAGCAAAGTCTCAGGATACAAAAATCAATGCACAGAAATCACAGGCATTTCTATACACCAATAACAGAATAATAGAGAGCCAAGTCATGAGTGAACTCCCATTCACAATTGCTAGAAAGAGAATAAAATACCTAGGAATACAACTAACAAAGGTTGTAAAGGACCTCTTCAAGGAGAACTACAAACCACTGCTCAAGAAAATAAGAGAGGACACAAACAGATGGAAAAACATTCCATGCTCATGGTTAAGAAGAATCAGTATCGTGAAAATGGCCAAACTGCCCAAAGTAATTTACAGACTCTGCGCTATCCCCATCAAGCTAACAATGACTTTCTTCACAGAACCGCACAAAACCACCTTAAACTTCATACGGAACCAAAAGAGAGCCCGCATTGCCAAGACAATCCTAAGCAAAAGGAACAAAGCCAGAGGTATCATGCTACCTGATTTTAAACTATACGACAAGGCTACAGTAATCAAAACAGCATAGTACTAGTACCAAAACAGACCAATGGAACAGAACAGACGCCTTGGAGGCAATGCCACACATCTACAACCATCTGATCTTTGACAAACCTGATAAAAACAAGCAATGGGGAAAGGATTCCCTGTTTAATAAAAGGTGTTGGGAAAACTGGCTAACAGTGTGCTGAAAGAAGAAACTGGACCCCTTCCTGACACCTTACACTAAAATTAACTCCAGATGAATTAAAGACTTAAACATAAGACCTAACACCATAAATACCTTAGAAAAAAACCTAGGCAAAACCATTCAGGGCATAGGCATAAGCAAGGACTTCATGACTAGAACACCAAAAGCACTGGCAACAGAAGCCAAAATAGACAAATGGGACCTAATTAAACTCCACAGCTTCTGTACAGCAAAAGAAACAAGCATTAGAGTGAACAGGCAACCAACAGAATGGGAAAACTTTTTTGCAATCTACTCATCTGACAAAGGGCTAATATACAGAATCTACAAAGAAATAAAACAAATTCACAAGAAAAAAAACAAACAAACCCATCCAAAAATGGGAGAAGGATATGAACAGACGCTTTTCAAAAGAAGATCTACATGAGGCCAACAAACATATGAAAAAATGCTCAACATCACTGATCATTAGAGAAATGCAAATCAAAACCACATTGAGATACTACCTCACGCCAATTAGAATGGCGATCATTAGAAAATCTGGAGACAACAGATGGTGGAGAGGATGTGGAGAAACAGGAACACTTTTACACTGCTGGTGGGAGTGTAAACTAGTTCAACCATTATGGAAGAGAGTGTAGCGCTTCCTCAAGGACCTAGAAATAGAAACTCCATTTGACCCAGCAATCCCATTACTGGGTGTATACCCAAAGGATTATAAATCATTCTATTATAAAGACACATGCACAGGTATGTTTCATAGCGGCACTGTTTACAATAGCAAAGACCTGGAATCAACCCAAATGCCCATCAACGATAGACTGGACAAGGAAAATGTGGCACATATACACCATGGAATACTATGCAGCCATAAAAAATTATGAGTTTGTGTCCTTTTTAAGGACATGGATGAATCTGGAAACCATAATTCTCAGCAAACTGACAGAAGAACAGAAAATCAAACACTGCATATTCTCACTCATAGGCAGGTGTTGAACAATGAGAACACACAGATTCACGGAGGGGAGCATCACACACTGGGGGTCTGTTGGGGGGGCCAAGGGAGGAACAGTGGAGAGTTGGGGGGTTGGGGAGGGATAACATGGGGAGAAATGCCAGATGTGGGTGACAGGGGGATGAAGGTAGCAAACCACATTGCCATGTGTGTACCTATGCAACAATCCTGCATGATCTGCACATGTACCCCAGAACCTAAAGTACAATTAAAACAAAATACTCCTTTAAATTGAATCAATTTAACATTATTTTAAAAACTCACTACAACATCTCTATTATTTTATTTCATTCAATATTGGTAAGAACTATGTCACAGCCCAGCACTGGAATTTGGAAACCAATGTTCTAAATTCATTGTACAAGATACTTTCAGTATTGAAACAAAATGTATATAGTAGTTACAATTATTACTTGATATGTAAAATAAAAGATGCAATAAAACTATTTGGTAACTCAATTTCAATGTAGTTTCATAACTTGTTCAGAGAGAACAATTTGCCCTCAAGTTATACTCAAACTCACATATAAGAGTCCAAAAACTCACTCCAAGAAGATAGTCTATTTACGTCCATTTATTTTTCACTTAAAAAACTGTTGAGATTTTGTTGAAAAGTTAGTCTCACATACTGTTATTTCCTTTCTATACTAACTAAAAAGCTACATATGTTTAAATATACCATCTAATTAATTCACTGACATCATTTATTTGAGAGATATTGTGACGTATGAATTGCCTCATTCTGCTTACTAGCAGTGGCCCCAAGTGGCCACTAGAGAAACACACGTGATTCAACTTCTTTTCCAGTTTTAGTCAAGAGGTTAGATCAAACTGCTACACCTGGATAGGTCTGCAGATTAATCTTTGGTTAAATTTATTGGAGATTATTATAAAAGAACTGCAATTTGAGTTCCTGTGAGGTTGGACTAGTCAAGCCAAAGCTTCAAATGCCCAACATAAGGTGTAAAAAAGACTTAAAGTCCCAATGTTCACAGAAAAATGCTGTTATTACAGATCTACATAACTTTACCCCAGAGCAGTGATAATTTTTATGTAAACAAAGCACCCCTGGAAAAGAACAGAACACAACTGAAGCAACAGATAATTTGGACCACTTCTGAGCTGTCCTAGATCTACCATTTATACTTCACAAAATCAAAATACAAGAATGCTATTTATTTCCCATGCTTTGAATTGACTAAATCACTCTCAACTATTGTCAAACACAAGTAGTTTCCTTTGTTGGCCTCTTTCTCTAAAGCCAAAATCTTTTAATTTTACTTACCAATTAGGGGCCTAACTCCTGCATGTAAAAATTAGAGGGGGCAGAAAGACAAGAGAAAGAATAATCCAAAAAAGGACTAACAGAAGGATTAGGAAGGAAAAATGCAAGGTTGCAAGAGCCTTCTATATCCCTTAAAGGCCCTTAAACCACGGGCTATTCCTTTAGCCTAATTATTGTTCATAGAATTGATGACATTATTCTATACCTACCAGGAGACTGGTCATCTAAACAGAAACTCTTGCTTTTCCAGCTCTGCCCTGGTGTTTTAGGCTCAGGGGCCCCGCTCTCCACTTCACTGAGATCATTCTGGAGCACAGTTTCCTCAGTCTTCGGCATCTTGATGTTAACTGGAATTGGAGAGAAAAGTAGAGGCCAGTTGTGTAAGACCTGACTCACACCCAACGACAAGAAGAAAGAGGGCTCCTCAATTGCAGTTGTGTGTCCCGGTGACTGAATCCGCTGCCCTCAGTTGAAAGGATTAAGTATCAGGGCTCAAAGCTTCTCAAAGGAACAACTAGGGTCTTCAAACAGGCCTTGAGGGGAAGGCGAATTAGCGGCAGTTCCTTTAGTGAAATCAAAGTTTAGTGTTGGGCAAGCGTAAGAGGAAAACAAGGCCCAGAGATGGACAACAACTCACCAGAAGGGGGGTACACTGCACATTACTAACCAAGCTAGGAAAGGAATCTTCCTCGGCTCTGACTACCTTTCATTGGTCCTGGAATACATTCTAACTCCTTAACTACTGCTCCAGACCTTCCTGAAGCGGCTCAAGGTCCCCCCACGGCCTTTGGGACCCTGGTCACTCACCTCCTCCTCGTCCTTGACTGGCTGCTCCGCTGTGTCTGCTGGTGAAGCCCCTCTGCCTCCCCAGCCCGGTCCTGGGAAGTACCATTGTAGCCAGGAAGAGAGGGGAGATTATCAGGGATGAGCCTGATGGAATCATGGAGATTATGAGGTCCACCTGGGGTGCACCCCTACCTGTGACACTAGATAGGAGAGTCCAAACATGAAAACAAAGGGTGATCCATTTCAACACAAAGGGTTGGTGTTACTTGCCCAGGGTGCCTTGGAAACCAAGAGAGCAGGAAAGGCAAGCAGGGTCTCACCACTGAGTGATAAAGGCAGGAGGCTGAGATACACATAATGAGGCTTTATGTTCATACCCTCCTGCCCAGGATCAAGACCTTGGAAGTAATCTCAAGCCCTGCTCCTCATGAATGAACTGTTCAAAGCTTTTATCCCTATTGCCCTGTGGGGATTCAGTCAGGTTGGTGGCAAAAATATTAAGGGAAGGTAGTGGATTCCACTTTAGCTGGGAGGTTTGTCACGGGAAACAAGTCCATAGCCTCCACTTAGGAAATTATAACATCTTCTACTGGAGTCCCCACGGCCAATTGCAGGGCAGCCTTACTAATATCTTTATCCACCATAGCATTAATCACAGTTTCATAGCCACATCTCATTCCCCTATAATTTGGGCCAATGTGGGGATGGGATATCCCAGACCCCTAGTAAACTCCATGCCACCCCAAGGCATCTTATGGTGCCTGGGGCATCTTAGCACCTCCCTTAACACCTGGCATGGGACATATCATAATTCTAGTCACAACTATACTATAACCTTTATTCATAACCACACTGATCAGTGCCTGATTTGCACTACGTACCCATCCATATGTTTTCCTTATGGGAACTAACATTTCCATTACACCCCAAAACTCCATCGTTAAGTCAAATTCTGCAGGACACAGCCTCGTACCTAGTGACCCCTACACTGCCCCAGAAAAAAAATAGCATTTAAGTAACTATTTAGGGGAAAAATCAGCATTTGTTGTTTGTTTGTTTGTTTGTTTGTTTGTTTGACTTCATGATGTTCATACAGCCCCTACAAATAAAGAACCAACTGGGCTACAAAATTCCAGAAGTCTTTTTTGGATTTTCTTTTATCTTTTGCATAAGTGAATCCACCACGGAAAGTAAGGAGAGACACATGAACTGTTAAACTCTCATTTTACAAATATGGAAATCAAGACTCATTTTAAAGGACCAGTCATGGAAGCTGTGTAGTAAAGGGGTAAGACCGTAAGCCTGAAAGGAATTCTACATTTTGCTTTGGGTTCTTTCAGCTCAATTATTTGCATGCTCTTCACTGCAATCCAGTTGTGAGCTTCGGATCTCATCTGTAAACTGTGGGCACAGGAATGAATGATCCTAAGGGGCCTCATGTTGCTCACTCTTTAGTCCTAGTGTACTTTGTCACTCCACTGGCCAGTCACCACAGTGATATGAGGACCCCTGGATTAGCCTATTTCCAGTATGTATATGTTTCCACACTATACTATTTGATCCCTCCCTTACCCTGACATAATTTCTTAACACATAAAAATTGTTTCTTTTATAAATGAAGACTATACTTTGACCAGATTCTCACCACCATTCTCGCCTTGTTAATGATAATAGTACAGTGTGAATATCTTGCATAATATGTGGATTTTGAAAAAGGAAGTTATGGGGAAGAGGTCCAAGAGCTTTCCAGCCTAGGAAAAATCCACCTTAACCTCCAGGCACAAGAAGATATGAGGGGACGTGGCTAGTAACGTTACCACTTAGCTAAAGAGTTTATTTTACTAATAAATATTAAATCTTAATTTCCCCCTCATCCTTCCTAGTATTTGCTGCAGTAATGTCAACTGTGAAACAAATTGTTCTCACGTCAAACCCAGGATAAATGTTTAAATATATTTTCCTTGATTTGAACATAAAATTATACATTCATAAGGTATATGTTTCACTATACAAGAAGTTCATTTTTCATTTAAAAAATTAGAATTCTATTTTATTTCTAAGAAAAACCTTCCAGAATGACACCAATTCATTTTTTCACAAAATTGCATTGTTTAAAAAAAAAAAACTCTACCTAGTGATACCTAAAGTTTTATTAGCACTTCATTCAAATAGTGAAATAGTCTTTTTAAGTGTCTTATAATATTGAAATCCCTGGGAGAGGTAATGAGGGGAAATAGAAGTGTGGAAACAACAAAGGAGGAGAAATAGAGGAAAACAGCAAATTACATTTTGCTAGGGATGGCCCAGATATTGTATTTAATAATATGTATTATCAGTAGTTGTCGAGAACCAACTAGAGGGAGAGAGAAAGATGGTGGAATAGAAGCCTATACCTTTTGAACCCCCTGCAGGAACACCAAATTGTAACCAATATCTGCATACAGAAAAGCATCATCATGAGAACCAACAATCAGGTGAGCAATCACAGTGCCTCGTTTTAACTTCATATTGTTGAAAGAGGCATTGAAGAGGGTTGGAGAGAGACAGTCTTAAATCCCTGATGCCACCCCTCCCCAATGCCCTTACAGCAGCTGTGCAGCTCAGAGAGTCTGTGCACTTGGGAGAAGAAGAGGGCAATGACTGGGGGACTCCACAGTTAACTCAATGCTACCCTGTCATAGCAGAGAGCAAAGCGATGCTGGGCTCAGCCAGTGCCCATTCAAAGAGGAAGTATTTGGACCAGACATAGCTAGAGGGGATTCACCCATTCCAGGGTGGAGAACTTCAGTCTCTCAGCAATCCACGCCACTATAGGCCAAAGTGCTCTGGAGTTTCAGGTAAACTTGAAGGGCACTCTAGGACACAAAGACTGCAATTCCTAGGAAACTCCTAGGAAATTAAACAATATGCACATAAAGGAACAGTGGATTAATGAAGTTGAAAAGGAAACTGAAAAATTTTATGAAACAAATAATAATGGAAACACAATATACCAAAACCTATGGAATAACAGAAAAAACAGTGCTAATATCAAAATTTATAGCTGTAAGTGCCTACCTTAAAAAGGAGAAAAGCTTCAAATAAAAAACCTAGTGAGGCATCATAAAGAACTATAAAAACAGGGGTAAATTAGAAGAAAACAGAGTAAATTAGAAGAAAAGAAGTAGTAAATATCAGAGCAGAAATAAATGAATTTGAAATGAAGAAAATAATGCAAAAGATTAATGAAACAAAAAGTTGTTTTTTTTGTCAAAGGTAAACGAAATTGGCAAATGTTTAGCCAGACTCTGAAGAACGAAGTGGAGAAGACCCAAATAAATAAAATCAGAGATGAAAGAGGAGACATTACAACAGTTAATCACAGAAATTCAAAGAATCACCAGTGGCTACTATGAGCAAGTATATGCCAATAGATTGGAAAATCTAGAAGAAATTGATAAGTTTCTAGACACATGCAATCTACCAAGATTAAACCACTAGGAAATCCAAAACCTGAGCAGACCAATAACAAGTAACACAGTCAAAGCCTTAATAAATAGTCTCCATCTATGGGGGGCGGGGGAAGCCTGGGACCTTATGACTTCACTGCTGAATTCTACTAAACATTTAAAGAAGAATTAATACCAGTCCTACTCAAACTGGAAAATAAAGGAGAAAATACTTTCAAACTCATCCTACAATGCTAATATTGCCCTCATACCAAAACCAGACAACCGCACATCAAAAAAGGAAAACTACAGGCCAACGTCTCTGATGAATATTGATGCAAAAATCCTCAACAAAATACTAGGCAAACACATTCAACAATACATTAGAAAGATATTTAATAATGACCATGAGGGATTTACCCCTGGGATGCAAGGATGGTTCAACATACACAAATCAATCAGTGTGATACATTATTTTAGCAGAGTGAAGAACAAAAACCATATTATAATTTCAAGTGATGCTGAAAAAGCATTTGATAAAAATTTAACATTACTTTATCATAAAAATCCTCAAAAAACTGGGTATAGAAGGAACATGCCTCAACATAATAAAAGCCGTATAAAACAAAGACCCACAGCTAGTATCATAAGAATGAGTAAAAAGTGAAACTCTTTCCTGTAAGATCTGGTACACAACAAGGATACCCACTTTCACCACTGTTGTTTCACCCCTATGAATCTACTGTAAGAAAACATTGGGAAAACTCTCCAGGACTTTGGTCTGGGCAAAAATTTCTTGAGTAATATCCCATAAGCACAGGCAAACCAAGGCAAAAACAGACAAATGGAATCACATCAAGTAAAAAGCTTCTGCAAGGCAAAGGAAACAATCACAAAGTGAAGAGCTAACACCCAGAATGGGAGAAATATTTGCAAACTACCCATCTACCGAGAGATTAATAACCAGTATATATAAGGAGCTCAAACAACTCTATAGGAGAAAATCTAATAATCCTATTAAAATGTGACAAAAAGATCTGAATAGATGTTGGGATTCACTCAGGGTAGCTGGCAAAATATTAGGGAAATATTAGGAAGGTTATAAGATACAGTCTCAAACCTTTTGGAAGACCAAAAGGTTTTTATTAACTTATGGAACAGATTGAAAGCAGCCAGTTCTTACATTAGAGCATTAAGTCATAGAGTGAAAGATTAAGGATAATAAAAACTTCTCCAGTTAAGTTTGTTTACCCCACATCACTTTGTCTCTACTCTAACTGTTTACTCATATAAAGTTTGTGCTGGATGGCTGGAGATCGAAAGGGAAATCCCCTTTAATGGTGTCTATTCTGGGCCCCGGAACCAAGACCTTTTTTCATTCGTAAAACCACTCTTTTAACCATGCTAACTATCCACAAGCTAGTTGACTTAGAACCTCTGTTATTAAATCCATACTGAATAAATGCAAGGAGGAACAGGGAGTTATGGTTGGTTAGCTGCAATTGCCCTCTGAAAGCAGCAGACAACCATCCCTAGCCCACTTGCCCACTTGACACTGTGTTCTGTGTGTGAGAGTGTATTTTATTCATCTGTCGCTGGGTCAGGGTCGAAAAGACAGACCTCCGCAGGTGGTGATCAATGTCTCAGGTGGTGACCCCAAAGTGCCACATCTCAAATA